GTGAAGATGGACATCATGTGCGTAACAGAACACTCTGATGGACACCAAAGGGCATTTTGAAACTTCAAAATCCCAGTGTGATTAAAACATAGCAAGAATAGCACAAAACCTCTCCATGCAAGCTAGCAGTATGCTGAAGGAAATAAACAGAGAGAAGTGGGAACGAAGGCAGGCTGAGGTGGATGGGGTGAGCATGTTGACATTAAGGTACTGTATATCCTTCCATCAGAGGCCCACTGTCATAGAAAGCATACCGCAGGTTTCTTTGTAATGAAACATGCTGCAGGAATGAATCTACATTGCCATTCCACAGTTAACAACCAAAAAGGGGGAGGGGAGAGGATAATGACATACTGTGAAAGAAAACTCACATCTGGAAGCAGCATAAATACTTTTCCCTTCTACTTTTCAATTGAGAATTCAATTTAGCTCTTAAATAACAGTATAAAATGTGCCTGAGTTTTCCATGTAATGCAACAGTGACATCTAGTGTTCAACAGAATTATCACAGCAGGGAGAGTTACCAGGATCCTGCAATTGGAAGCTTAAAGTTTCTGCTCTACTTGCTCTTCTCTCTGCTGACCTGTGTCTGGAGATTTCGACAGGAGTCCTTCCCTCCCTTCTGGTGAAAGTATTTGCTTTCACATTCTCCCCTCTCATCAGTTCTCAGTTTCCCTAAACTACAATGCTTGGCATTTCTAGCAGAGGTGATCACTGTTGGAATGGTTTCCCTTTCTGTTCCCTCTGTCCCATCAATGAGATCCTTTTCCTATCCAAGCCTGCCTACAATAATCAACCAAGTAAAGCATCCCATACTCTGACGAAATGGGATGCAAATCCATGAAAGCTCAGGCCAAATAAAATGCAGGCAGATGTCCCAGCTATTTGGCTCCATTTGCCAGCCCATCAGCCATGTGAAAATTTCATGTGCCAAACAGCAGAGTTTGGGGGAACGTATCTGAGTTGTCAGTCAAAAACGTGTACATACACTGCAGCGGCTCAATTTTAACTATGCATAAATCAAAAGACAAGCTCAGTCAAAAAGAGGCTGCAAGTGCAATCAGCTCATCGAATGAATAGACAGGAACCCAATTTCCAATTATGAAAAATACATTAGTCTTCAAATGCATTACAGAACTTTTCACAGCTTTTCTGAGGCAGCTGGAATATGTCACTCCTAATAACTGGCTACACTGACTGAGCCTTACATGATTTACAGAGTGATTTGAAGCATCCACACCCCTTTTGCATACATTGAGTTTTGCAGTTATCTCCTTACAGTTACTCGCCATAAAAAGAGTTGGCATTAAATAACACCCTCCAGATGCAGGATTAGACACCACCTTGCTTAGGTCTTCCTAGTGAATTTACCGCAGAGTTGATGGGATTGTGGGTAAGCACGGAAGCATATGTCCACCCTGGTCACTTCGCCACATTACTCAGCTTTAAGGGAGTAAAGGCTCACTTTCAGTCTGAAAGGCTCCTGCAATTCAAAATTAAAGGCTGTTCCATCTTTTGCTACTTCTTTACTTGAGCAATGAAAGAGGACTGAGGAAGAAAGTCCCTTTCCCTGCCCAAACCATCTTAGCACTAAAGCCTCTGCATTTGTTTTTATGCAACACCAATACATCTGCTATTATTTAACAGTAATTATACACCATCAGTTCAGTTCTGACTTATGGCAACCCTCTGCAGGGTTTTCCAGGTAGAGAATACTCGGAGGTAGTTTCCCATTCCCTTCTTCTGGAGCAGCCCAGCTGGGACTGTGCAGCTGGCCCAAGGCCACACAGGCTGGCTCTACTCGCGGGAGGCCCAGTGGGGGAACCGAACTCCCAACCTCTGGCTCCACAACCAGATACCTAAACCATATTTTTAAACTTTTAAAAGAGGTAAAGTCTCATTTAAGTTTGAATCAAATCATCAAGTCAATTAACACGTTTAACTGGTTTCTTCTCTTCCCAGCAGGGCCCTTAACGCCTTTCTGAATACGGAAAAACTATGCAAAGGAAGCAGCCGTCACCACTGTGGACAAACCTTGGCGACTTCATTATTAATTAGCTGCTTGCAAGCCAGCTATAGAAATGTAATACCAAT